AACACAGCACCAGTATTAAAGTCCAAAAAGACAAACTTTCCTATTTGAACGGAACAACACCAAAAACAAAGTTTCACATTTGTTCTCCAGAGGTGTGACTGATAATCAGTGTGACAAAGGAGACACGTCTAAGAAACGGGAGCCTAATAGTCTGACAGCCAAGAGTCTAATATTTTAGTCATTATACAAGTACTTTTATATATTTCTCATTCATTAGAATTGCAATATGACACCGCACCAGACTATGACGTGTGAAACCAGGCCCTGCGAAACAAGACCACCCACTAATTTAACTTCCAAATGTTTGTGCACAGATGCTGAAAGCTGCTTCCCTCTCTTGGTTCTGGCTCTGCAAAATCAGAACCAGAACCAGAACCATTAGACCTAAGAGTCTGGAAAGTTGATACACAACAGCAGATCTTCAGATGTATTGTGGTGCTAAACCGGTCCGTGATATGTAAACTAACAACAGTGTTGTAAATATATATTCTTTGAGCCACAGGAAGCCAGTGAAGGGATTTTAATACTGGTGTAATGTAATCCAATCCTATCCACAGACAATCACACCTCCCTTTTTTTTTTTTTTTTTTCTGTTAAGAGGCGGAACTAGGCAAAACACTTGTAATCCGATCTATACAAATCAACAGGCTTAATTCTAATCACCATAGAAAAACTACCAACAACACATTTACTTATCAAACATTTATGCAGGAGAGAGAAAAAACAAAAAACAAAAAATGACCCTGCAAACTGGTCCTACCTGTAAACTCTAATCAACCAAAAATATAGGCCAGCACTGCAGAGAATGGAGTAGACTGAGGTGCGACAAAACCTCAGACACCGCTTTTAATTTAGCATTATTACTACAACTCACCGGTTCCCCAAAAAGTCACAGATAACAATCATTGTATAAAGAATTGTTCAATGCCTGGCCAACTCACCAAAACGGGTCCACAACGTTCTGCCCTGTGTCGCCTCCTGTAAACTCACAGACGCATCTGTCCAGGGAAAAATTAGCCTGCAGTTGTTCTGCAGACACAGTGTGTAACAACCAACGACCTGCCTACGTGTAACAGACAAACAAAATGACAACATCACTTATTGACGAACTACATCTGCCATGACAACTGTAAAGCGAGCCGGAGTCACATCAAACGTAACAAGCCAACTGCTGAATTAAACGCTAATGTAGCTCCGTACATGCGCCTGTACCGTAAGCCACGAGACAGAGCAGAGTAACAAGCTAACACGTTATTATTAAAATCAACCGCCATATAAGCACATAGCCTGATAAAAATTATATCATCAGTATTATTAATATTATTAATATTAGAGAGTATTATTCTTATAATTAGTTCTCAAATAGTATATAAGCACAAACCGCGGCAAAATAACACAACACTCACTCAGCAGCTGCAAACGCCGTCTCCCATACACACAATAACATACAGAGAGCCGTAAAACACACACAGACAACGGCAAAACTCACACGGCCACCGCACAACGAACACACAGACAAACAACGGCTCAGTCACTCCGACACACAAACAGATAACGTACTGACATAAACACAAAGACAAAAACACAAAGACACGAAGACACGCCGGCGAAAAACAACACAAACAGACAAAAAACAGCGAAAACACACGAACAGACAAGGTGGTCAACACACAGGAAAAAATCAAAATAACGTCAACACACAGAGACAAACGAGGAAAATGAAGAAAGATAAGAAAGCAAAAGGAAAGTCCCTATTGTTATCGATAACAGAAGAGTTTAATTCTTTGGGGCCCCAATGTCTTTGCACTTCACTGCACATCACTTCATTTTCAGCACTAGTTGCTGCGGAAGGAGACCGTCTCCCAATTTAGCATAAGTCCTTTCAAGCTCGGGCAATAGCTTAAGTGATTCAACTTTTAAATCTGGAGGTCCTTTCGATCCAGAACAAAACTGGAACGTGGTGATACAACCATAGCCAATTCTCATAAGCCCTGCAAATAATCAGCTGCTTTCGGAGCGAACCAAAACTCCAAGGTCGATTCAAACCTTTTCCTGTCTCACACCCCATCTCACAGGCTCCGTTAGAGTGTAGTAAAATCTCAGGTCGGACCAACCTAGCTAAATCCACACTCCGTCGAGTGTGGTTGAGGCGCGCCACTGCCAACTACGGGTGTGTAACCAGCTTATCTAATGGTTCAGTAGAATAAGAAGAAACAAAAAAACACAAAGAGATCACACACTAACCAAGATCAGTCCGCGGGGATAGCCGCGCTGCAGATCACTCCGCAACGTCCCAGCTGCTCCACAGGCTAACACAAACAAACAAGTCTCCACTGCAACACACACAGAGACACAGAGAAAAAGGACCGGACGAAGCCCCCAATTGTTAAGAATTAAAAAGAGAATAACTTGATTTAGCTCGTTAATAAATTCTTAGTCCCGAATTCCTGTGTCTGTGTAAGTGTGCAGAGAGAAAAGAGCAATCGTACGACGTCAGACTTCAGATATTCAGAGTTTTATCCAGAGAAAATCAATGCAAGAAGAATGTTACAATAATCATCTCACCTAGAACATCAAAAGTCCAAGACATTACAGAACAGAGACAAAGAACTGAGTAAAAAAGACAGAAGATGCATCCTCCGGGAAAACTCTCACCCAGCACAAAGAGATTCCAACTTCTGCTGTAAACCAAATCATTTTATAGAATGCGTAATCTCATCATTTAAATATATGCATTAGGAGGTGTGTTCTTTTCCTTTGTGTGGGCTGTCTCAATGTTAATTTTATTACCTCCTGCTAAAGAGCCCCAAAAGCAGATATACGGCAAACCCTTCTCGTATCAGCCGCTGTCCAGTTTGATATATGATTGCAGCTGCAGCGCTATCTGTGCCTCAAAATGTTTTCACAAGAAAGTAGTTTGTATTTTTAACCAAGCTTGCACACAATGTAATGCTAAATAATGACTATAAGTTTGGATCTAATAAGTAACTATTTAAAAACATGCTTAAAGAAATATAGTTAATTCTAATATAGATAAAATTATTTATAAAAAGGTTTTAAGATCCTAGTGAACTTTTGAACCATGCTCAGGAATTGTTAATTGCCTGGCATATAGGCTCCTTATCTCAAGAGATCCAAGGAGTCTAGGCCTATGTTTTCTGTTTCTTCTGTCTGATCCTCCTTTTAAGAATTTATCTGCGTTTCAGAGATTGAGCCGTTGTTTTTAGTTTCATCTAAATTTATATGAACCTAGAGTGTACTTTAACTTTCTATGTTATATTTTATATGTGTCAAAGCTATCCTGTGCAGTATTGTGCTAACTTAAAATTCTATGTCAACACTAGTCAAAATGCATTTTCAGATATCTGGAACGTAATTACGGATAGTCAGACGAAACCGAATTTATGCTAAAAACGGCTTGCCATAGCTGTGCCAGCAGAATGCCAGATCCGGGCCAGATCTGCCACGTGGGACTAAAGATACCAGAATTAGCTACAAACAGCTAAAGTAGCATAGCTCACAGTCATTAACTCCACTAACAGAAAAACATGAGTATCAAGAGTACCAGAGTATCAAACTACCAGACATAAAAACGTAATGTGAAATTATTCATAATTTCTCTTGTCTCATTATAATCGGAAACCAAGCGTGCAGGTTTAACTTGCACTTACTTCTGAGAGCAGACCTGTTCCTTGACAGCCGCCACCTAGTGGTCAACCACGTGATCTCACCTGTACCGCTCAAAAACGCACGTAGAGCTTTGTGGAAAGTGACGTCACTGCTCTAGGCGTAACAGCCCCGCTGTGATTTTGCAAACCTCAAAACGTTTTTTATTGCTCCTAACATTTAGATTATGTGACCACAATAGCAAAGACGGTTATTTATGTGTAATTCTTTCAATCTGTCTAAAGTAAATAGTTCCTGTTTTAATTCAATGCACTGATGAATCTCTTAAGCTGTAAACTTTATACATATTATTATGGATTAATTATTTAATCAATTTATTTCTACATGATTGCATCATTTACTGTTTGTTTATTATATAAATATGTATTGATATGTCTAAATGATATCTTAAAATCTTTTGACAGGTTGTGTGCTTTATAAAATGCTCATCATACATCAATATCAAAATATTATATTCCGAATCTATTCTGTTATCCCCACGAAGAATATGTAAATATGCTGAACGATGCATCAGTCAATTCAAAAATATAAAAAATATAGTGTCCTTGTGAATGTAGCTATAACTGTTTTAATAAGGCTCACTCAAAAAAATAGTGAAAACCTGTTTAGTGAGTTATAATGATTAAATGCGCTGATGCGTCATTGCACCTGTCAAACATATAAGGCTGAATGGAGCAGTCGACCTCCAAGATGGCCGCGGTCCATGAGGCCTCTATTCTTTATACTGAGTCACTTCCTGCAACAGGAAGGGCGGGACGGACCGCTGTCAGTCTCTTACCTTATATGGAAATGGGACCATTGCACTTCGGAAGTGAAGGGGGCGCTATTTCCTATATTATCCGTGACTCAGTTTTATTTTCTTTTAAGATCTGACATATTTTTACCTCTAGGAAGGGTTTTCACTGTATGGCTAGCTCGCTGTTGCTGTCTCTTCCTCTGCAGTGTGGAGTCTCAGTGTCTGGGATCATGAGCGCCCCCTGCCAGGAGGCCAGAGAACTGCCTGCCTCACCTCCAGTCTGTTCCCTGGTTTCTGATCGCTGCTCAGCATGAAACATGTTACACACACAGTTGGTGGCAACAAACACTGTAAATTATATAGAGATGAGCTAAATGATGGAACATCAGCTCAGATTAAACGTCAGGGTTTTATTGGTGGCATACAGACAGGAGGACTGAAGGTCTGCCAGCGCGCTGAGCCAGAGGTTGATCATCCAGCTGAGACTCGGCTTCCTGCTGCCTCACTGGATTCACTTCTGAGCATTTGAATGAAAAATTGCAAAAAAAAAATTGAAGAAAAAAATGATCAGAATTGGTTAAGCCACAAGAAAAATAAATAGTTTATTGTACAAACCACAGGGTGAAAATAGCCATATTAGTGATTTTTCCATGAAGACAGATGAGGCTCACCTGCCTCCTCTGATGTCACTGGGTTAGACCCAGTATGTTCTGGTCATGAGGTCAGAGTTGACAGACGGGATGAAGGTTTCCTAAGCTAAAGCTAGCTCCCTCAAACTCCTCACTGTTCCAGTTGGACCAGTTGGACCAGTTGGACCAGTGGATGCTACACATGCAGCCATCCATCCTGTCATTACTGTCACATAAAGCTCCCAGTACGACCAGTAAAACCAGGCTGGCAGATCTCAGATCAGCAGTTTTAATTGGTTTTCACAGAAGCAGCAAATCGACTCACGATGGAAACTGTGATGTCACAGACACCATGATGACATCACAGCTGTTAAATGGTACATTTCTCCATCTCTATGGGAACAGTAAAATATGAATATATAAAGTTAAATATTCTCTCATCTGATTGGTCCAAACTATCCGAGGCCCCGCCCCCTGACAGTACAGCAGGAAGTAGAAACAAGACTTTCCAGAATAAAATCATTTCCACCAAAGTAATGACATGTGATTGGCTGTGAAACAGGAATGATGCAGCAGCTCAACAGTGATTGACTCGTTCAAATGTTTCTCTACCAACAGAAGGTCCAGATGTTCAGGGTGACCCGGTTCTGGTTCTGGTCGAGCTTCATGGCTGTTATGAGGCTGCAGTGACAAACTTCCACCAGGAGGGGGTAGAGGACCAATCCGTTGCAACTGATCTTCCTGAAGCTCCTCCAGAACCCAGCAGGCAGAACCAGAACCTTCTTCTGATTGGCCCCAGCATGTTCGTCTGGCGCCGCCCACCTGAGCAGCAGTCCAATCACGATCCACCCTGTCCTGATTCTTCTTCTGTGGTCAGAGTCCAGGGTGAAGCACTGTGATGTGTCACTTCCCCTCCTCCTCTTCTCCTCCTCCTCTGGCTCCCCCTGCTGGCTGCTCTCAGGAGCTTCCTCTGTGGCTCCTTGGGGATCCAGGTCCAGTTCGGTTTCTGGTACCTGGTTGTGATCCTGATCCTGATCCTGGTTCTGGTCCTGGTCCTGGTCCTGGTCTTGGTTCTTTTCCTGGTCCTGGTCCTGGTCTTGGTTCTTTTCCTGGTCCTGGTCCTGATTGTTATCTGTTTGGGTTTCTGTCCCTGGCTCGCCTCCCGGTCCCAGGATGCTTTCTGCCTCCAGCTCCAGAACCGGGACCTGGTCCGACCCATCTGGAGCTGTTGGTTCCTGGTCCGCTGGGTCCAGGGGTTCTGGTTGGGAGGTGATGGACTCCTTCCTCCCCAGTCCTGGAAACAGACAGAGGATGAGGGGCCAGTTGGTTGTAAGACCTTTGGTTCTGGTTCTGGTTCTGCTGAGAGGGAGTGAACCCGCTCAGCCCGGCGGTGGCGGCGCCGAGGCGTCCACCATGTTTTCTATTGAAAGACGTTCAGTAGTCAGGAAATGTAAAATATTACTGGGTAATGAAACGTTTCTGGAAAACATATTAGTCTGAAAACAATCAAAAAATACAATTAACATGAATATCAATAATTTATCAATAACTTGCTTTTTTGTTGAACCCACATGAAGGCAGCGGCTCCGTCGGGCCCCCAAGGCTTCAGGGGCCATAAATGACCATTTATTTATTGATCAATGCTGTTTAAATGTTTAAATTGATTAATATTTAACTTTAAGGAGCTGCTAAGTTTACTTTGTAAAAGATCAAACTGTTTTGTTACCATAGCAACAACCTGATGCTGAGTTTGTTGACAAATATAAATTAATAAACTGTAATTAGAACTGATAGTTTTCAGGTTGGCCAGTTAATCTACTTTAATCTCCCAGATTAAATCCAACAGAAGCTGCTAGAGGTTCTGATGTTTTAGCAGCAAGAGGGGCCCAACAGTCAGGTTCTGCCCCAACAGTCAGGTTCTGCCCCACAGTCAGGTTCTGCCCCACAGTCAGGTTCTGCCCCAACAGTCAGGTTCTGCCCCAACAGTCAGGTTCTGCCCAACAGTCAGGTTCTGCCCCAACAGTCAGGTTCTGCCCCACAGTCAGGTTTTGCCCCAACAGTCAGGTTCTGCCCCGGGCCTCATGCAGCCTTGGACCGGCCCTGCAGGATGAGCAACAGATTTAATTCAATGAGCTGCTAATGTGACTTTAGCAGCTCTAACATTTCTGTCTTGAGTTTTAATACGAGCCACAGAAACTGTTCTGGTTGGTCGAGTTCATGCGATGGATCTCTGCACGAATTAACTAAGTGGACAAAGCATTAGATATGGTTTGATGCATCGTGTAACTAGAAAAATGGTATATAAATAATAATGAAATAATATAAAACCAGTGCAAAGCTCCTCACCGGCTAACGCTGTTTGTTAGCCGCTAACGCTGTTCGTTAGCCGCTAACGCTGTTCGTTAGCCGCTAACGCTGTTCGTTAGCCGCTAACGCTGTTCGTTAGCCGCTAACGCTGCGACCATCCAGGAACAATGACATCAACTTTACAGGGCAGACAGCGCCACCCACTGGGCAGCGAGTTGAGATGGAAACACCGCATATAATTCTTAGTTCACAACGATAAATCATTCTCACTGCTTCCTCACCGCGCACATCTGGAAGCACAACTACAAGTTATAGAGCTGCACAAGCAGAGCTACTGTGGTGGGTTTGAACTTTGACCTTTTGGCGGCTACTGCAAAGAATCCCGATTCCTCACAGGGGTCGACGTAAATATCCATACAGTCAGCCTGTGTCCAGTTTGAGTGAAAGGAGGCGGGTGAACGTCATCCAGCCGCATCGCGAGGCGGTCGGTCCGGTTTTAAATGCGTCAACTATAAACTTATCTTTTCAGAATAAATTTGTTCCACCAGTGAAATGCCCTGAGCAACAGAGACTCTTTCATAATGGTTTAAATCAGTTTTAAAAAAACATTTTTGTTTGATTATTAATTTTTCTAAAATCAAAAACAAGCAACTCTTGGCCTGGCAGAGGGGCTAGTACAGCCTGGCGGGCCGCCAGGCTTATAATGCACTGGGGAAACCCAGTCTCCACTGAGAAGTTCTGCAGACAGAAACCCAGATCACCAGATCCTGAAGGATCTACTGACAGGCTGAAGGTAAGTAAAGTTCGTACCAGCAGGCATCAGAACCAGAGCCTGCAAGATGTCCGACAGCGACACGATGCCAATGATACGAGACTCATCGTCAACCACGACCAGCCTGTGGACCTGCAAACACAAAGACTCAAAATCAACCGGATTTGGGTCTTTGCAGCACCTTTCACAATGAAAAGCGTTTTGACCCCTTCTGCATCCTGGTACCTCAGCCTTCACGATCCGGTCCACGATGGTCTCCAGTGTTTCCAGCTTGTTGCACTTCATGACACCTTCAAAGTACTGCGATCTGTGTCTTAGAGCCTGGGTGACCGTCACATCCAGATTGTTGTAGGTCTTCTCAGCTGCCAGGTTCTGCACAAACACCACAGTCCATTCTTCAGAAATCGGACAACTTCTCCAGAACCAGCAGAGGATGAAAATACTCACAATCACATCAAACTTGGAGTAGATGTCCACCACCTTCCCTGTAGGCGGACAGGATCCCATCTCATCAGAATCTCTCAGAAACCAACTTAACAGGACGACGGAAACAGCTGCTTACCGCTATGATCCACGACGGGCAGCGCAGAGACGCGGCGGTGTGTGAACACAGACAGGGCCATGATGAGCGGTGTGTCGGGGTGGATGTAGGCGATGTTGGAGTACGTTCCCACCCCGAGTTCCTCCAGTGTCTGCTTCATGAAGGCCGGCATGGGCATCTCACACACCTGAGGCAGTGGGGGGTAAAGGTCAAGAGCCAAGCTCTGAAGGTGTAAAGTCACGTCTTCACAAGAAAAGAAGATATAGTTGGAGACGAGGTACAGTGTACCAACAGCAAGGTTTCCCCCAGAAAAGCTGCTGAAGCAGTCAATCATCCAGCGGCCCGTCGGGTTTTCTAGTTTAAAAATGTTTCAAGTTAACAGAAAATTTGAAAATACCATGTGATAATTATGTGTTTTGAAAGGTTTCCCTTCACCCCTGAACAAATGCAAACATTTCACTCAAGTAAATAAGCAACGCTAAGCCTGGTGGGGGCACAAGTCAAGCCTGGTGACCCGCCAGGCTTATAAAACACTCAGGGAAACCATGCAGCAGCAAGAAGCAGAGTACCAACAGAAAAATGCTGCGTAGCAGCAACAAGATAGAGATGCTAAATTAACTGGAGGTTGACCAGTAGAACCAGGAAGGCTAACTGGAAGCACTGAGGACAGAACAACCAAGCAGCATAAAGAACCGTCTCTCTGCCAACTGGACCTTAACAGTACTTTGTTCAGAACCTTGCTAAATATGGAGGGAGAGTCTGCTCACCCCCCCAGCTCCCTCCCTCCCCCCCAGCTTGCGCCCCCCCCTCCCCCCAGCTCGCCCCCAGACTCACAAAGAGCTGCAGGAACTTCAGGATCCGCTTGTGAGTCAGGATGTAGAGAGCGTTGCCGCTGATGGGATCGATGACAGGAAGCCGGTGGATCTTGTTCTTTATCAGGGAGTGGACCGCTTCGAACACGCTGGACAGAGACACAATCAACAGCTGCTGTCCTGGAGGAACTCTGGTCTGACCTGCGCTCCAGCAGAACCTCCATGTCGTCTGGATGACCTGATGAATCTACCTGGCGTCAGGTGAGATGTGCACCAGAGGTTTGAAGGTCTCCTGCAGGTACAGCTCTGTGAACATGGAGGGCAGACGTTACTCTCTGGGCTTTTCCAGATGCTTCCGGCTCGGTCGGCTCTCACCTCTCCACGTCTCGATCTTATGCTCCTCCAGCTCATAGATCTGCACCTGGACACACACACACCTGAGAGACACACCTGGGAACAAACACACTGAGACGGCAGCAACGACGCAGAGCAGCTGACGCCTCACAGAGGTTCAGTTGCAATAGGAGGGGTCAGAGGTCAGCAGAACCCGTCTGGTTTCAGGTTCCACAGAAACCTTCAGCAGACGAATCCTGATACCTGCAGCTCCAACAACCAATCAGATCACAGGTGATTTAATAAGCTGTTGCTATGACAACAAAACACCTTTTCAACACAGGGACAGGTGAGTGTGTGTGTGTTGGTGTGTGTGTGTGTAAGTGTGTGTGTGTGTGTGTGTGTGTTTGGTGTGTGTGTGTGTGTGTGTTGGTGTGTGTGTGTTGGTTTGTGTGTGTTTGTGTGAGTGTGTGTAAGTGTGTGTGTGTATGTGTGTGTGTGTGTGTTGGTGTGTGTGTGTGTGTGTGTGTGTGTTGGTGTGTGTGTGTTGGTGTGTGTGTGTGTGTTGGTGTGTGTGTTGGTGTGTGTGTTGGTGTGTGTGTGTGTGTGTGTGTGTGTGTGTAAGTGTGTGTGTGTGTGAGTGAGTGTGTGTGTGAGTGTGTGTTGGTGTGTGTGTGTTGGTGTGTGTGTAAGTGTGTGTGTGTGTGTGAGTGAGTGTGTGTGTGAGTGTGTGTTGGTGTGTGTGTGTTGGTGTGTGTGTAAGTGTGTTGTGTGTGAGTGTGTGTGTGTGTGTGTGTGTGTGTTACCATGGGGGATTTATAGTATCTGGTCAGGATGTTGATGAAGTCTGTGATGGTCAACATTCCTGGAACAATATCATCATCATCATCATCATCATCATCATCATCATCATCATCATCATCATCATCATCATCATCATCATCATCTCCATCAGGTGAGACATGTGTCAGGCTTTTATTGTGAAGGTTCAACAGGAAGCAGGGCACTTACCCACAAAGCTTTGCTTCTTACTCTCCCACAGAGGAGCGGCTCTCACCCCATTAGCCACCAATGCAAAGAAGGCCTTCTTCACCTGCAAGGACAATGCCGGGCCGACCCAGAAGGGCCCACGGATCAGAACCGGGCCGACCCAGAAGGGCTGGGAGGTCTGGTATCTGAACCATGAGGCGGATTAAAACCAACCTCAGTAATGAACACAGCTGCAGTTGCAACAGAACCCATCAGAACCCGGCGTGGTTCTGGTCTCACCTGCAGCGTTGTGTCGAACACCACCAGTTTGGAGCTGGTGGGAACGATGTCGTAACACTTGTGGCACTTCATGAAGCGCATGTAGATGTCTCGCTCCGACTCCTCGGACCCTGGACCACAGAGCAGAACCGCGGGTCAGAATGGCGGTCAGAACCGGTCCTCTTATTATCATCGCTGCTGCTCTTTCAACTCTCTAGTCGGCTGGTTCTGCTTCTGAGCTGTCTGTTTTCATGACAACATCCCAGAACCGGGCCAGAACCGGAGAGGCGAGAGCGAGAGGATCCTTACCGGAATCTCCGGGATCCGTCTGATCCCACATGCCGCCGGCGACCTCCACCTGGACGGAAAACAGACAGAGTGAGGCATCTTCCCAATAAACCATCTTTAAGACGCTGCCTGCATCACTTCCTGCTACTCTCTTCATCCCAAGGGAAACTTTACATGTTGACAGAACTCAGATCCGTGCTGGAAGGATCTCCAGTAGCAGTCAGTGTGCCAACGAATGTGAAGAGGCCTCTGACTGAAGACAGCAGGTGTTTGATGATGTCAGGTTTGCTATGACCTGCTAGCAGCTCAGTATCTAAGTCCACAGCAACATGTGCCGCATGCGTCCATCAGCTAGCTCTGCTAATCCGCCTCCTTCGCTTTTGCTGCTCCCCTATAAATCTGAACTTCCTCTTTCTCTCTGCATTCATGGAGTTTCCTTGTCAGTGCTGGCGAGTCACAGTTCAGGGATTATTAGAGCGTGGGACTGGAGGGTCAGACAGTGAAACAGACAGTGAAATGAGCCTGAGAACCAGAGTTCCCCATTAGAACCACCACTAACTGACCAGTTAGCCACCACTAACTGACCAGTTTAACCACCACTAACTGACCAGTTAGCCACCACTAACTGACCAGTTAACCACCACTAACTGACCAGTTAGCCACCACTAACTGACCAGTTAACCACCCTAACTGACCAGTTAGCCACCACTAACTGACCAGTTAACCACCACTAACTGACCAGTTCCTGTGTGCAGGGGCGCCACAGAAGGGGGACAGTTAAGACAATCCAAGGGCCCTTGACTGACAGGGGCCTCTGACAAGAAAAATTACTAAATGAATCATATAGTGTTTTTAAAATTCTTTTATCAGTAAAAATGAAATGTTCCCACTCCCAGACAAAAAAAGCACACATCCATATTTGCCCTGAACTTCCTGGATCTGCAGGAAACGGTTCCAGAGCTGCGACTGTTTCTGAGCTGCTGGCAAAAATAACATTCAGGTTTTCAAAAAAACATAGAGAAGAAGAAAGAGCGTCAAATTATAGCCCAGTTTTTCTCTGAGAGGTGAGAAGACTTATCAACCATTCAGCATAGTTAGCTTAGCCACAGACTGTTAGCCTCCAGTTCACTAGCATTTAATCAATGAAGTAAATAATTTTACAACTTATATTTAACTTGTCCCTGTTACCACACTTAACAACAGATGAGTCAATCAGCAGCAGCTCTAACCCTAACCTTTGACCCCTGTCCCAGTAAAAAAAGGTGAGCAACACCAGTTGGCAACATTCCAGGGAATCTGTAGGGATTTTCCCTGTCTATACTCGCTTTACTGTTACACAACAAAAACAATTTATTTATGACTTACAGAAATTCAGTCTTTATCACACTGAGTGAGTGAATTGATTGGCAGCAGTAACGCTGCTCTCCTGGTTCTGACTGGCAGCTTTTGGTCAGATTGGTGCCGAGCAGCAGCTGAGGGAGAGATTGATCTGTTCACAGATTATTTGTCACGACATGGTGACAGCTTTAACTAATGTGGAAAAAACGTTTTTATTAAAATTATATTCTGCAGTTTGGACAAAATACAATAACAGCATTTTTTGAGAAGTGTGGATGGCTTGGATATTTTGCACATGGCCTGTGACTTGCTGGTGGGGAGACATTTCAATGAGCTAAAACTGCTAATAAAAAAATGAAGCAACCTATTTGCATTTAGTATGCAGACAGTTGCATGTAAAATTCCCGAGCAGTTAATATTGAGCTCGTATCAGTTTTGGACACAGAAAGCAAGGCTGTTGCGAGCCTTTACGATGATAAAGCTTTTCATGGCTAAATTGACTTGTATTGTAACACAAGCTGCGCAGGGGGGCCAATTCAATGTTTTGTCCTGGGGCCCACGATTCCTGGCGGCGCCCCTGCCTCTGCGGTCGTACGCAGCATCATACAGCATCCTGGTGTTGTGCATCGTCTGGTCTCCAGGTAATCCCGTCTCGGTGTTTACCGGTGGTTCGGTGATGAAACCGCAGCCGATGCCTTCAGAACCGGGTCCGCTCTGACGTCACCCGGTCTCACTCTCCAGGGACTTCAACGAAATAGATAATGACGGTGTTTGAGCTAAAATGGCAGACTTTTCAAGGGAATCTGGGAAACGATGAGCCCACAGCTAGCACCTACCGGTCAGGCTCCGTTCATGAACTGCTCCGAGCGGCTTCTTCAGCCTCAGGGCTTTTATTGGGAGATGGAGCAGCTTGTCTTCAGAGGACAGTCTTCAGAGGACAGTCTTCAGAGGACAGTCTTCAGGACCGGAGCTCTTCAGGGCTCCATCTTGGATGCAAGTCCGGGGAAGAGCCCGCTGAGCGCTCGGACTCCTCCGCCTGCTCTCGGCAACGTTCGGCTAGTTTCGAGAAGGGCTTGCTGCTCTCGGTGAAAGTAAAAAGCTGGTCTAACCAACTTCCGGTGAAGGCGATGAAAATAAAAGCAGAACGTTTCTAATGAATATTGTAGGTGGGGTTCAGTAACTTTCTTTTAATTGAAAGTAGAAGTTTCCATTCCATTGATAACCGCCTGTAACCGTTTGGATCAAACCTTTTGGGTTTCCTTCCTCAAGCTTCTCCGAGGTTCTGTCCGATCCAGTCCGCCTCATGATGGATATCTGCCCTTTCAGATCATACATCAGTGTCTCCAGACCATCAGCTGAAAGCTGAGGCTGTGGAAGACCAACCTGTTCCCAAACTTTAACTGGTCCATTAAGCCCACCAGGTCCTCCTGCAGCAAACGGGCCCGCAGCATGATGCCGCACTCCCACATTTCACAGTAAGGATGGTGAAAGGTTCCTCGTTCTTCCTCTAAGTGTAACGATGGCCACTCCTCAGACTTCGTCCCTCCGTCGGTCTGGCTTCTTCCTCGCTGAACGACCGCTCCGGTCAGAACAGAACCCGCTACAGCAGGGCCGTGTTTCTGGGCTCACTCTGCACATTTTGGACCAGAACCAGACTAGAACTTCTTTGACAGTTTGAACAGAAGAACCTTTACTGTTTGATAAATAGTCGCAGGATGGACCGGTCTGGTTCTGGTTCTGGTTCATTTCCCAGAGAGTCAAACCAGAAACTGTTCCAGGTGCGATTCAGGCAAATCAGTTGACCTGTCAGACGTTTGTAAAGGAAACCAAAAGGTCTGAGTCATCCTCCTTTTTAAAATACGGTTTAGAAGTGGGCCGGCCCAAGGCGTAAGCAAACTAAGCGGCTGTTCAGGGCGTCGCGGAGGCTTGGGCCAGTCCTGGTTTTCCCTGATACCGACCAAGAACGCAGAAAAAAATAAAAATCCTCACCAAGTTTTCTGGCTTTCAGCAAACAGATTTAGAGATTTTTTAAATGATTTTTCCCACTAATCTTGTTACTGTGAGGAGAAACGATATGAAATCATTCTAACATTCCCACCGTGGGACAGACGGCTTGTTGAAGAAGCTTCTCCATTCTGACTCTGTCAACTAAATTGAGCCCATTTTGGTCGACATATTAAAACTTTATCAGATGTTGCATACAGAGCTGAGGCTGGACCCACTTTGTCTTCTGCTTTCTCAGTTTAATAAATGTCAGCACAATCTTTATCTTATAACCTTATCTTGGTAAAAAAGCTGGCGTTGATGTTCTGGACAAAAGCAGAGGTTCCACTGGAGGAACTGGTCAGGCTCTCATCTGGACAATACGCTTCTCATTAGCAAATCAATTAAAGTGATTCAATAAAACTTGGCAACCCCTTCAGCAAAATATGAATAAGTATTTGAAGGCTTTAATTTGAGCCTGTGTGTGATGGGAGCAAAGTCCCAGGGAAAGAGAGCTGGACGGGTTGATGCTCCTGTTTATTTATGTCACTTCTGTTTTGTTTTTGTTTCTCATGTTTTATGTTCACATAAGAAAAAAAAGAGGACAAATTTATATTGCTGATGTTTCAATCTCCATGTGTGATCCCTCAATAAAACTGAACAGGACAAACTGTGGTTATGATGATAAAATGCTGTTCTCACTATTTGTTTAATTTGCTGAATTAAAGGGAATTAAAGCCGAGAAGAACTGGATTCTGACTTGGTTTGAAGGTTTTAAAGATGCTGTTTCAAATTTTAAAATTCTAATTTCATTCTGGTCCACATTTCAGGATTAGTGTTTTTTCTCTGTTTTCCTGTCCAGCCCTTGATTGTTCCCAGCTGTGTCTCAATTCCCTGGTTACCCTCTGTGTATTTCATCCACCTGTGCTGTTGTCTCATCTGTCTCATGTGTCTCATCTGTCTCGTGTGTCTCATCTGTCTCATGTGTCTCATCTGTCTCATGTGTCTCATCTGTCTCGTGTGTCTCATGTGTCTCATCTGTCTCATGTGTCTCGTGTGTCCATCTGTCTCGTGTGTCTCATCTGTCTCGTGTGTCTCATCTGTCTCATGTGTCTCATCTTGTCTGTGTCTTGTGTCTCGTCCTCTCGTTCTCACTGTCTCAGTGTCTCGTGTGTCTCATCTGTCTCGTGTGTCTCATCTGTCTCGTGTGTCTCATCTGTCTCATGTGTCTTGCCCTCTCGCCTTGTCTATTGAGTTACCAGTTGCTAGCAGTTTTTGAGCCTTGTTGCTCATTTCTGGCTGCCTGGATTTGGACTGTTGTTTCTGACATCTTCATTTCTTCATTTCTTCACCTGGGTCCACAGCGTCTTCCTCATCATCTCTACTACCACAAATTATGAAAAATGGTCTAATTATTAAAACTTCTGCTTTGTCCTGGTTCTGTGCCGTCCATGTCTTTATGTCTGAAATACAATTAAGAGTGCAGTGATGAGCTGGGGGTCGTCGCCAGCTAATGACTGTATAGCTGAGTATCATCAGCATAATGGTGGAAGCTGATTCCAGGGTTCCTGATGAATCCACCAAACGGCAACATCTACAAGTTAAAAAGGACCTAAAATAGAGCCCTGGGTGACGCCGCAGTTAACATGAAGGATCTGTGAGGAAACATGTTTCCATACTGAACCTCTGAAGAACAAGAGCAAGGACCACCGAGGCTGGAATCTTGTTTAACAGGATTTGGTGATCACTGCATGAAAGACTCAGAGCCAATCAGGACTGAGAGTCTGTGTGTCTCCGTATGTTGGTTGATACTTTTCTAAAATACCAAAAAAAGTATTTCATTTAATCAAATTTTACTTAAAAATGGTAAGTTGGATACTGTAATTATTAAAAATTACAGGTCCTATTTACTCGTCTTCAAAAGGGGAATATTTAAAATGTCATATTCAAATAAAATGATTGAAAAAGAGAGTTGGGTCCAAGAGGCGGGTGGTTGGTTTTGTTGTGTGCTGAGCATCAACATGAACATATTGATCAGTTTTTAAAAAACAGATGAAATGTTTGCTCTAATTGAAATGATTTGCTACACAGAGAGTCAGCAGTAAGTCAGGCTTAGTCAGGTTATCAATGGTGGAAAACAAAACTTATTGTGACTGATAATTATTTTGCAAAATATTCTTTTGGACAGCAGAGTTTATAAATGTTCACATTGTTTGGGAACAAAAGTTATCAGTTTGTGTTTCTGCTTAACTGACATTTCTTTTAAGTTTCTTTATTTTAGGGCTCAGTTGTTTTTTTAAAAACATTTTTATGAAACAATGGAGCCACATGGTCCAGGTTACATTTCAGTTTGTTGAAAAAGTGGCTGATTGTGTCACAGGAAGCAGCTAAAATAACAGGGGGATTATGGGTAATAGCCTCAGAGGTGAGGTGGCGCTCCAGGATCAAATCAGAGACATAAAAAAACACACAGCGATGGGCAGGAATGGGCAGGTCACCAACAGAGGCCACAGACCAAGGTCAGGACCAGGTCAAGCCGGCCCTGGACCGTAACCTGGGTCACCTGGGTCCAGTAAGCCGGCTGAGATGCTGATACAATCCAGCATGTCAGCTACTTACCTGGCTCCAGGTGTGAGCAGAGGCAGGTGGAGGCAGGGCCTGAGGGGGGGGCCTGACGGGGCAGCCGGCTGCAGGTGGAGGTCGCCATGTGAGCAGCGTCAGGAGGGGAGGAGTAGGAGCGCCGTCTGCTGGCCTCCGGGCGCCGTGGCTCCGTCAGGTACGTCTCCAGGTGGAAACCGCCCACCTGGCTGAGGGAGGAGGTGGCTGGGGGCAGAGGGGACAACAACAAACCAACATGAGGAACTGGCGCCCCCTGCAGGATGCTCTGAAGATCTGATGGAGCCAGAAAACCGAGAGTTTCACTGAACACAGATTCCTTCAGAGACAGAAATGCGCCCAGTTTTTCCTACCACTAAACTTCCCAGTAATATGGACACAACCTTTCTTCTTCTTAGTTGTTGACGCCAAAGCCAAACAGAACATTCTGGGTTTGTAATCCTTTGCCAGGTCCGCTTAGACTCTAAGCCTTAGAGGTTCTGGGAAGCTGAGCCATCATCAATCAGAACCAAATTTGGACCTCAGGGCAGAATGGACCTCTGCCGAATCCAAACATTATTGACCCGTTCCGGTCCGGGTCCAGCTGGTCCAGGTTCCGGTCCGGGTTGTGCAGCTGATCCGGTTCCGGTCCGGGTCCAGCTGGTCCAGGTTCCGGTCCGGGTTGTGCAGCCAGCTGCTCTCTCTAACGACCCTTTAAGCGGCTGTTGCCGTGGTTACTGACACACAGGCAGCAAAGGTCAGAGACACCATAATGCACTGCTGGAGCTTAGCAACACACACACACACACACACACACACACACACACACACACACACACACACACACACACACACACACAGAGGAATCTGAAAACAGCTGCTTCTTTGCTTCTTGCTGCTGCTCACACCAGAACTTCATTACCCATAATCCTTAGCTGCTGTTACAGAGGAAAGTTCTGATTGTGTCCTGGGAGCACTGTTTCCACAAGCCATGCGGCCGGTTTGGCCCGGTTTGGCCCGTTTTGGCCCGATTCAGCAATGAATAGCTGCTCTATTCTCCTCATATTATCATAAGGAAAACAGAACCAGAACCGGAACCAGAACCAGTTATAATGCGTCAATATTCTGTTATTGCACTTTGACCAGGACGTTCAACTGGACTAGCTGGCTAGCCGGCTAGCTAGGCTAGCTAGCTATTTGTTAGCAGTTTGTCCTTCTGCCTTGAGAGCTCCCTGACCTTTGACCCTATCTGAATCTATTAGAATCTGACCCGGTTCTGTCCTTTTGGAGGCCTGGTGGACAGGTGTCATGAAATGGTTGTTATTGTCTCAGACGTCCCTCCATCCCCGCAGCAGTTGGACGTCAAGGACGCCGCAGGACTCGGCGCGCCGACTCAGCGGCTTCCTGTCCACACGTCCCC